AGCTGCTATCATCTCAAAACATCTTTCACTCCAAGCTTTTAAGGGGACTCCAGATATACGCACCCAAACCAGTCTACCATAATTTTGAGGTGCCTCATCCCATGGGTGTATTTTCTCACACCAGAGCTCAAATAACTCTTTGTGCTGTAACACATATTCCTTCAAATACCCCGCCAATCTCTCCGTTAATAGTATGGTTCTCCCTCCCAATGGTGATATATTTATCAAACCCCCATCCATATCCAATCTCTCTTGGATAATAGAGATCATTGACATGGATTTAACCATTACTACCATGCTCCCCTGCAACCATTCATTCTCCTCTTCCAATGGGCAGAAATCAATGATTTCCTCCCTGTTGAAACCCGAGTTCACCACTCCCTCCTTTTCCTCGGAGCTTTTCCCCTCAATACTCGCAGACTTCCTTTGAATGATAGATATTCTATCCATAGCTGCAGATTTCTCCTTCTTTTCTGCTTGTTTATTCAGGACCAGAGCACTATGTTTCCTTGAATTCCCCATTACCGCCTGAACGTATGACAAACCTGGTTGTACAAAACACTGCTCTCTGATGCCCTCTTTCAGCCTAGCACTTCTTCGATGCTCAAAACTTCTCTGTACCCTGTCCGTCCCAGTCTTCTTCCCCGCATTCCTCTGCCTTCCTATCTCTCGCTGTCTCCTGGAAGATGCCACTCTTGCCCTCAGCTTATAGACCCGATCCATATCCTATTCAGTCTCTCTTCGAGTTGCTTAACATCTTGCACTCTTAGCATTCGGACAAAACCAAACCGTTTCCCCCATCTATCTCTCTTACTTGGGATAAACGCATCAACAACCTTTCCATAATTCTGATACTGGTACCACAAAGTCTTCGCATCCCATTCCTCTGGGAAGTTGTAAATGAAAAACGATTCTACCTGTCCCTGATTCCTATTCCTAGAGTCTCCTATCCTCCAGTTGTGCCCTTGCCGCCATCTGGATCTGCCGCCGTCCTGAGTCGCCACACCTTTCGCCATCTTCAGTGAAGTGTAATTACCTTTAATAAGATTTAATTCATTATTAACTTTGAATTTAGAATTGTTGACAAACTAAGTAAGGTTCAAGACTTAGTTACTTTTATTATACATAATAATTCATCTTTGCTCAAAGAAAAATTTATTTTTATTAAAATAGTGGGGGAAATTGTTGGAATTTAAATATTTTAATAAAAAAAATAAAATAATATATTTTATAAATTAAATTTATTGTTTCATTAAAGACTTGGTTAAACTAATCATTATAGGTTAATTGTTTTATTTAATGATGTATTATTTCATAATAATTGCTCAATTTATTCTTATCATTAACTTAATGAGAGTTACAAGATCATTAGTTTTATAAATAGGACATTTCATTTTGCTCAACAATGGTGTGTTCCTCCACATTCTTCTATTTTTCTTTTTTTCTTTATTTTCTAAATATTCTTGAGTAAAAAAAAGTGTTTTAAATTAGATAACTCTATGGGTAGTATAGATTTATAAAGTATAATTATAAAGTTGTAGCATCTCGAGGATGATATGCTATATATATTTCTACTGCATCGGTTGATTTACTCTCCGCAAAGATGTGAATCGTTTTAAAGTAAATAAGTTTTTCATGCTTATTTCACTGTTATTTTCTTATTGATATTTTTTAATAAATTCATTAATTATTATTTTATTTAATTTTATGACTGAAATATAATAATGATATGGAGATGAAAAAGAGTATTCGAGGAACAACAGATTGTAGGTGTTTTATTTTGGTTTGTTGGATGAGTCCACTATAAAACAAAAGATAGTCGCCATGTTTTTTTAAATCTCTCGTTACTTATCTTGAAGTTCGAACTTGAGGCATTCGGCTGGGAGTTTCGAGATTGATAAATTCTTAATTAGACACAGAAGTCTGTTTACATAATTTTAACACCTACTTCATCCGTTCAACAATGGTAGTTTTAATTTGATTTTTGGGATTTTTTAACTTATGTATTTTAAGAGACAAATTAAATGTCATTAGTTACAGTTTTTTTTTTTTTTTTTTGAACATTTTGTCATGAGGCCAGTTCGAACCGTTGCTCTGGGGGAGGAGGACATGAACCTTACAAACGTGGTTAGAGCCACTTGACCCGAAAAGTCAGGTTCCATTAGTTACAGTATTTATAATTAATTTTACATAAATTTTTATATAAGATTCAAAAGTTAAAGTTTAGATAAAATTTTAACATATCAAACAAATACTAACTTAAATTTATTCTCATTTTTTTAGGAAATTTTTTTTTCTATATGTAGTTTTTGTTTAGTATTACCTTTGTTCAAGTTTAATCGTCATAGCTTTTAATTCAGAGTGTTCAAATGAATTGTCCACTTTTTTATTTTAAAGTGTTATTTAATACATTTATTTTTGTTGCACACTTATATTAAAAATATAATTACAACACATATAAATAAGCATGCTTATTTCGATACTGGTTAATAAAGCATAAATATGAAATTTTATTAATTAATTATTAATCAAAGTTATTAGTTTTCAAAAGCTTTTAATTAAAGATATGACTCTATACATTCACTTAATCCTTTTTTAGAAAAAGTGCAAATGTCATATTCTTGATTAAAAATTTTTGAAATATGTTAGTCTTTGATTAGTAAGAAAAAAAAGTCATCTCTTTAATTAAAAAAAAATTAAAACAGTTATATTCTTATTTGTATTAAATCTCAATCTCCAAGCAAGTAATAGAATAAATTGATCGGTCCGTAACTTCGGGTTGGGCCTACATACCCAATAATTATTTCGCTTTTGGACCCAATTAAAACATTCCCTCAGGTACAAATGTAGGCCCATTCAATTTCGAGATTAGCCGACACGGCTACACCTCACTCACATGTATTGTAGTTGGCTGCTGGTGCGGCATAGGGACGGAAACTTCTCCGAAACCGCAGACGTTCGCCGGGATCCCTGCGGAAGGATGGAGGTTCAAAGAATATTTTTTTTCTTATGAGATGATAATGAAGGTACTTTTTTTCTCACAAAATTTTATACAGAATTTTGTCCCTCTAAAAATTAGTATATAATAAAAAATATAAATTTATTTATATATATTTTTATAATAAAAAAGTACCCTAAACAAAAAAAATATAAAATTAAGAGTAAAAAAATGAGAAATAATTACATAATATGAGATTTAATTGGAATGTACAGCTACACTACATCAACTTATACCATTAAAATTAAATATTTTAACACTTTTAATATTAAAATATTCAAAAATTTCTAATTTTCTTACAAAATTGAAAAGCATTATGCAAACTACATAAGTATTTTTTAATTAGAAAACACTGAGGCCAGTCGAGGACAAAAGTCCTCCTTCCCCCTATAAAATGCGAACCGACAAATGGGAGTGGCGAGATCAAAATTCTAATTTCTCAACAGCAAAGCGGATAAAGCGATTAATAAAGGAGAGTATTACTCCGACTTGTTTTCCTTTCGGAACGGGAAAAATTTTCCTGCAACAAATAGTTTAGCTTCTTTTTCTCTTAAAATACCGGAGAAAAGGCGTGTAAGGCATCTCCTTTCCTGTTCCCATCAACTCACGCGCTTTCAATTCTGCATAAATTCCTAGCGGAAGGTTTGGCTCTTTGTTCACTGTGTTCCTTCCCTCTGCAGATATGAGTGACCCTAAGTCTGCTTATCCTTACCCTGCTCAACCTTACCCTGCTCAACCTTATCCTGCTCAAGGTAATTCATTCCCCTTTTCCTTTTGATTCTTAATTTTGCCTCTCTGATGTTCTTTCTACAGATCTTGCATTACAATTGATTAACCCTTGATTTTTTAGTTTAATTATTGTTGTTTAAAAAAAAACCCGTTTTTCTTAGGGAATGAGCTGTAGATTTTTCAAATTAGGATGCTTTTTTTGTTTTATAGTTGTTCAGCTATCATGATTTGCGTATGGGGTTTTCTGTTGTTAAGGATTTCTGGGTTTTATTGGGCTTTTCTTTCTTCTGCTCTAAAGTTTCCATTTTGGGTACTGATTAATTCTGTAAATTTTGGTTTTTTTTTTTTAATTTTTGGTGACAGGGTATTATCAAGGACCCCCGGTAATGGCACCTCCACAGTACGCAGCCCCACCACCCCGGCGAGAGCCGGGTTTCCTTGAAGGATGGTAATTTCTCTCCTACCATGTTTCTGAGATTCTGCACATCATATCTCCTTTTTCTTTATTTTCTATAGTCATTGTAATCTTTTGGTGTTTTGGGTTGAACTTGCTGTTACAGTCTCGCGGCTTTGTGTTGCTGTTTCCTCATTGACGAGTGTTGCTGTGACCCTTCAATCGTCTTTGCCTGCTAGCTATTAGT